CAGTCTTTCCTCATCTTATGATCTTTGGTACCAGTTGACCTCTTGGTACTTGAACATGTATCTACATTTTTCCTCAAAATTATTAAGTCTCGCTTATTCTATCAGTGTTGCCTCAAAGAGTGTATCCCTAAGCCTATGCAAACCATCAAAAACACAGCTTTTCTAATGCAGACAATATATTATATCCTTCTGTACTGGAGTTTACTTACATCAAATTCTACATATCTCTATCAAATGTTCACATAGTTAATGAAAAAGTTGTGAAATTGGTGCATAAATGCTTCCTTTTGATGAAAAAGGACAAAACATACTGTTTAAAATGTTATTGAATTTCACACATGTAATCATGTCTTCATATTCCATGTATTCAATGATATTGAATCAGAGTGACACCACAGAAGTCCAATTTAAATTTCATTACAATTTTGTAGGCCAGGATAGTACATTATGTAAATAATGCAAAGAATTTCAAGGTTTCAAATGATCTTTTATGTAATAATTGAATAAGGCTCATTTTATACGAGATTTGAACATCAAAAACTACTGTCGCCTTAATTTATTCATATTTACTAAATGAGGTTATCTTCAGATTCAAGATACACGTATTGATGTTTCAGATGTGTAAACAATTTATCATTTCAGAATCTTATAATGAATATTCTTGAAAATGTTTTCAAAAGTTGACATCAAATGGTTGTGATTGGTCGACAAGGTTTTAAACCTAATGGCTGTTAGAATCATATTTCGTCCACAAATGTTAAATATTTCTTCAAAAAGAATAAATCTTTCCATATCAATATTCTATAATTATATCTAATAATTTGTTTTGAGTGCTTTTTATTAATTTATTGATCAGAGGAGGTATGTTTGATCTAGATGTAATCCAATTTTCCAATAAATATATAAAACAAAATCTATTTTATCTGTCATTTGGGATCAAAGACTTTATGATGATTATTATGGTCATTGATCTAGAAGGAAAAGAAAACAAAGGCATCAATATTTCCAACAATCCCTGTCCTAAGTCTTATCACTGCTATATATACCATGATCTATATGACATACAGTATACTTGTATAAAAGTCACCCCAAAAAATTACACCTTCAATTTACTGTAGAACAATGTTGCTGGAAAAATATAAACTTCCATGTCAATTTTAAAAACACAACTTACTAAAAGTTCTAATAAATTTTTACATCAGAAATGTATGTTTTTGTCAAAACTAGATATCATTGAGATGGGAGCCATCTCTGTGGGCCCCGCTGTGAATAATGTGTGGTAAAAAATTTGTATCTTTATCATTGGACATGGTGTTGTCAACTAAAACCAAAGTTTTTGACCTTAACCTTTGACCTAGGAAGTTGTACATACATTATGACACACCCTCTGGTGTTGGTTTATATACATGTCAAGTATAAACTTTGAAATCATAACGGTTCTCAAGATATAGAACGGACACGATCTTTACCATAGGACATGGGGTTGTCAACTAAAACCAAAGTTTTTACCTTGACCTTTGACCTAGGAAGTTGTACATACATTATGGCACACCCTCTGGTGTTGGTTAATATACATGTCAAGTATAAACTTTGAAATCATAACGGTTCTCTAGATATAGAGCGGACACAATTTGTTACGGATTGACGGACGGACAGACGGACGGACAAACAGACTGATCACTATAGGGCGTGCGCCATTCGGCGGGGCCCTAATTATAAAAATGAGCATTTATAACACTGATAATATAAAAAAAACAAGGTCTATGTACTGTAGAATGATTGCCACTGAGACAACTCTTCATCAGAGAGCAAATGAATAGAAGTTAACAACCATAGGAGCAGCCAATACAAAATTAGCTACTGTGGATACATTACTATTTGTGGGATACCAATTTTCGTGTATTTCGAGGGTGCAGGTGAACCATGAATTTAGATGTTCAACGAAGTAAAAATTTTCTGTAGGCTTGTATGCAGGCTTTGGCAAAACCATGAAATCAAATATCCACAAAAATACAATGTTCCCTAAACCCACAGAAAATGTGTACCCATGAAAATAAATGAATCCACAGTATATGTTTCAATTATTCAATTGATTCTGTTTTGAAAGGATCAAGATTGAAAACTGGCATCATAGATAATTTCTTATCATTGTCATCTTTATAAATAATATCGTAATATTGCAATTTCTTTCTCCCTAGTTTCCTCTGTATTGTAAATTTAGAAAGTTAACACTTCAAATGTTTAATAAACTGTTAACACAGAGATGTCTCGCCTTTTGTAATTTTGATAATGCAAATGTTGAAATTAAAAACTTTAATATGTAAGTTATGCAAATATTCAAAGTCAATGAACCATGACTGAAAGTATGTGGCTAAACAATCTCCATAGAAATGAGATGTACCAATGCTAATACAACTACATACCAAATACCATTGACTTATTATAAGTTGTTCCCTTTAAACAAACCTAAACATAAACAATCACTTGTAAACTATGTAAAAGTTTCAAAGTAAATGAACCATGATGAGGGGGTGGGGCTATAATTATCTCCATGGAAACGAGACTTGCAAATGGCAATACATTTGCATACAAAATATCATTGACTTAACATTAGTGGTTCATCTTAAACTGATCTAATCACAAACTAATACATGTATGCAAACTAAGCAAAAGTTTTAAAGTCAATAGACCATGACTGAGGGGGCTGGGTCCAATATTCTCCATGGAAATAAGATGTGCTAATGCTTATATAATTGCATACCAATTAACATTGGCCTACCACTAATGGTTCCACTTGAACTGACCTAATCACAAACTAATACATGTAAACTAAGCAAAAGTTTCAAAGTCAATAGACCATGACTGAAGGGGCAGGGCCAAATAATCTCCATGGAAATGAGATGTCAGCATGTGCCAATGCTAATACAAGTGCATACCAAATATCATTGACCTACCACTAGTGGTTCAACGTAAACTAGACCTAATCACAAACTAATACATTGTTGCTGCAGCCGACGCTGGAAACAACATACCGTAGTCTTATTATAATAATGTCTCGCTTTTTGACTCCGTCAAGGCAAGACAAAATTACATTTTCTCAAAATAAAACTCTTTCTTTCCCTATACAAAAGTAAGGCAATTTTATTCACTTTAATTAAAGCTTAGTTTTCACTAACCATGCTAACTGCATCCAATTTAAACAAGATAATCAAACCTTCCCTATCTAATTACAGGTTTCTACCTTAAACTCCATCTGAACATAGTATGATCCAGTTGTAATATAAACTATAATGAACCAGTACATGTATGGCACATACTGTTGTTGATAATGAAATGAGGTCCAATATAATGGTTAATCAGACAAATTTCTAGACCCATTTGACATTACATAATACTGTCTAGATTATTTAGGTTTTCTGCACAAAAGAGAAAAGTTTACAGAAACAGACATATACATTATTTTTTATTGAAATGGTCCACCAGCTTAATGGATGCCCTCAATCTTCAGGTACCTTTGTATTGCTTCAGTCAACAATTAGTTGTTCAAATTCTTTTTTTTATCTTTTTTTTCTTTTGACTAATTTTTCTGTTATCAATATGAGTTTATGCACCTCATGATTTAGTATCTTTGCGGTTTTTTATTTATTTCAAATCCCAACCAAATTGGTAATTAACTCCTAGTTGAATAATGATTTTCGAACTCTAGGTTAAAACAAAATTCATCTAAGATATAATAATTGGCTCAACAATATTTCAAACCACAGACCTCAATATTTTTCCTATGTATACAACATTTCATTCCAACTAATATTTTTCTACAGAGAAGGCTAAAGGGATTACCATCTACATTAAGATAAGCTTGAGACAATCACACAATTATACAAACCTCCCCAGGTGTGTATTCTAATCACTGACCCAAACTAAATCTTAACTAAATTCTTAAACTTGTAAATGTAAATATTTATCTGTAAGGTTTAACATGTGGATAGCCTTTAAATTAACATGTGTGTTATTCCTAAATCAAACAGAAAGAAATTAGAATTAGACCTGCTTTATGCTCTAAGACAGATGAGATAAAAAGCATGAGAATTGAAGATAAGTTTAATTGTAGAACTGATTCTAGTATTTGACTAACAATGCAACATACATGTATATATCCTTAGCTGTAACTTTTATGTTAAATTTTGGGTGCATAACTTAACTATGTGTACAGGTCTCTTCAGTACAGAATTGAAATTTTTGTCTCAGTAATTTGATGGAAAAGCAATACTGTGGATTCAATTATTTTTCGTTGTTACCAATTTTGTGGATTGAGGATAAATTGTATTTTCATGAATATTCGATTTCATGGTTTTGCCAAAGACTGCATACAGGCCTATAAAAAAATTATACTTTATAGTTATATTTGTGGTTCATGTATACCCAAGAACTCTAAATTGGTATCCCAAGAATAATAATGAATCTACAGGATGCACTTGATACAAAGAAAAGTAATGGAGTTGGCCAGTTACTTGCTTAACAAATGCTTATCCGTGAAACTTCCAAATTATTCAAAAATTTAAACCTACTATATAGCTACAATATATGAGAATATATTCCTCAAAATATCCCATAATATTAATAGCAGATGCACAACTTCAAAATATATATATAAGTGCAATCTTTCTGTGAAGTTTCAGGGATCTGCCTTGAAAAATAAAACTGTAGGAGGAGTTGGTTAGACAAACTAGGTACCCACTTTTCCCCGACCAACTGCTCTCATGACATCACCATATTATAAGCCGGTTTTTGACTTTGTCCAACCGGGCCAAAAATGAAGCAGTACAGATGTGTAGGTAATAACATTAATATCACCAAACTATGCTCTACCTTTAAAATGAACAGCTCAAAAAACACAAACTGAAAAAAAACTTTTACAACTATTGCAGTGAAATTACATTTTCTTTCAAAAACTTTCCCGATAAGTTTGATTTCTGAGTAATGCAATATTATTCACTTACCCATCAATAAGATTTCGAACACATGAATTATAAATGGCATCTTGTTTGGTTGGAAGGTCGTACACATAGTCGAATGTAAATGCTTTATCTTTACCCAGTAGTACTTGGTTTTCGTCAGGTAGTACGGTGGAGCATATCTGACACATGTCTATCTTCTCTCTCGCCAACTGGGGACGGATTCTGAAAATGTTAATGAATATATACAGTTCATATGGGTAACAGAAGATGTACATGAAGGCTATTATATGTCAAAGAGATAGCAATCCTTTGGCATTTAGCAATATAGAGCTCAACATACTCAGGGATGGAAATCAAATTTTTCAAGTGGTAGCCAAGTCAATATTTTTGGTTGACCATTGTATAATATTTTCTTGTCATCCAATTTTCAATATTTTTGTTTGACAGAGGATATTTCTTCATTGTTTTTAGTTCAAAATTATCAGTTTTTTTTAAAGTGTACACATGTAGAGTATCATCATTAACACCTTTAGGTGTATTATTTTTACACCCTGTTTACACTTGGACATTTAGATCGATCTAAACTAGATAGGTTCACTTTAGATCAATTAAAGCCCAATGTAAATGCTTTGAATCGATCTTGAATCGGTCTAAATTTAAAAACCAAAAGAGGTAGTTCAGTTTGAACCAATCTAAAATGTGAATGCACAGATCAATCTACATTGTAAACTACTTTGATTCAATCGAAAATAATTTGTGCACATGTATGGTGGCAAAATTACATGTGCAATTTATTATAAAATGGATGATCAACATAAAAGTGCTGAAAATTAACGAAAAATATATGAACAGCAGAAGCAACATTTGAACTTGTAATTCAAGTGAAACAATAACTTCATCCATTATTTTTTTGCAAGCGTATGTATCAACATATTAATTTGATTAAATATTTCTATCTATATACAGTGTTTACAAAATTTTTCACAGATAATTAGGTCAGATCGATTGCATTTTTACTTGTAGTGTGAACCCAGTGGTTCAGATTAGACTGATAGAGATCGTTAGGATTAAAGATAATGTGAACAGTAACTGATCTTATTTAGATTGATTCAAATTTAGATCGATCCAACAAATGCTAGTGTGAGCAGGGTCCCAGAGTCAAATTTTTGCCTCTTTTGTTTGGACATGCATTGTCTAACAAAAGTACCAAGTACAAATATATGTACCATAGAAATAAAGTAGCTTAGGTGGATAAATTTAGTGTATGGTTTTATTATGGAGATGGTTTCTGTTGTTAGAATGCTGCATCATTTTAGTGTATAAATGTACTCCACATTTCATTTTATTTAAGGAATGACTGTAACATTTTTCTGTCTATGAAGAAATAAAATAAAGAATGTGGTGCATACTGAATAACCCGCGTAGCTGGTTATTTAAAAGTGGGCACCACATTTTTGAGGTTATTTCGAATAGACAGAAAAAATATTACAGTCATTCCTTATAATTTAATTCTAAATTCCATTTTTAAGGAGTAAATCATGAAAAAACGTCGATGATGTTATGGTCACATGACAAAATTAAGTCTATGAGCTGATAAACAACATCCTTTCAGCCAATCAGAAGATGTGTTACATCCAGAATTAAATTATTCATACAAGGATTTTGTAATGCCACTTTGAGCGGAAAGTTTTTTTTATTTCTGAATATCTCAAAAGATCTTGTCCTTCACTACTCAAATATGTACTAAATACATACATTTTGTGTTTAAGATGACTAATTAAGTGTACATGTACTTTTAAGCCCATTCATTACATAACTACGACACCAGCTAATATTTACATGTCTGCTTTTAACAATGTGGTTTATTGATCAAGAAAACCTAAGCAAGGAAAATTTAAAATCAATCCATTTTTGTACAAGATTCATTGTAATTTCTACTTATGCAAGCGCCATATTCATTCATTAGTCTTCACGAGAAGTTTTTTGCTCACTGTCATGATTTTGGTTGACTGCAAAGACTATTAATGTATACATTTTGTAAATGTAACATCCAGATTACAAATACATGCTTATGATTTTCGATTTCATGAATTAATTGCTAATTTGGCTATCTCATAAATATAAATTTACCATAAAATCCCAGGACCAATACAATAATATGTTATCAAGCCTGGATTCTAAAGCTAAATTAAATGTGCTACACTTTTGTTCAGTGTCTGTTTAGCATCGGTATGATCAGTAGATCTCTCTCCCAAACATGTCATCAGTGTATAAAAGACTGAGAATACCCTGACAAAGAACATTGGATCATACATGTATCATTTCATGCCTGATTCAAGAATGTATTTGCATACCAAGGAATTAAATATTTGTCAAGCAGCCTTAGCAGAGATGCCCCAGATTCCTTTACATTTTATTTTAAAATATAAATTAACAAATGTGAAAAAAAATATTCATGTAATGTTAAATGAATAATCATGAGAATAGTCCAGGCAAATAGATTATCATGACAATATAAAAAGGAGAGTGGACAACTGGGTCCCTACTAATTATCATCCTGTATCCTAAAGTTCTGATACACAGATTTACCAGTCTAAATATATAGCAGAGAAAATACAATTTTTATACTGCATGGAAAATCAGGGCTCTATAAATTACAAGAGAACTTTCATTAATAGACTAGGTTGATATTGATTAAATCAAGATCTACAGTGATGGAATGTCAATATCGGATATTTTATGACATAATATTGAGTCACTGTTACTTAATTCATACCTCTGTAACAGATGCATAACAGAAATAGATTTTATATGCATATAAGGAGCAATACAATGTCACTGACTTAAGATTTCTATTTACAAATAAACTGTTAAGTGTATAAACAACTGGTGCATCTACATGCAAGATGATTATTAAGCTCAAGTGTTACAAGTATACATGTGTAATTTCAATTAAAAAATTCAACCACTGGTTACCAATTAATATGTGTCATGAAATGTACAAATGTACTAATTATATATATATAATGTACTCCCGTTATTAGAGCCTGAGGGTTAAAAATATATATATGTCATACTGTATGTCAGAGATTTAAATGCCATAAAAATAATTCTAAGCCTTGAGAAATTTAAGATTATACATGTTAAATACAAGTACATGTATGATACATGTACCAAAAAAAACCCCATTAATACCTAAAATAAATTAATTTGATGTGCTACTGGCATACATGTAATATTTATGAGTATGACCAAACATCATTTTCAGCATCTGCCACTTAGATGAAAAAAAAAAGGAACAAAAAGATCTTGTAAAACAAAATGTGTATGCACAAATGTAGCGTACCTATATCTAGGAACTTCTAGTCAGAGTTCTCGAAAAGAGGTGGTCCGAAGGTTTTGACCACCAATATGTTCAAAGGACTGACACAATTTTGGTATTTTGACATAGAAATAATAGTGAGGATCTTCAAGGACCACCAGGAAAAAAAATTTGGAATTGACCATGGTCAAAAATTACAAGTCGCTAGACTCATCTGAAAAAGTCTATGTACATGTACATGTATCTTGAATGTCAAGCTGATATAATAATTTATTTAACATAATGTACACTACATACATGTACATGTAAATTGTACAGAAAATACACATCAGACAGGAATGGAAATAACCTAAATTGTAAAATATTGGCTGGGCTAACACCTAAAAATTTCCATCATTTTACATGTACAAAATGTGCATGTAGATAATTAAGTCTTGTATTGTCTGACATAAAATAATATGTCTAATGCCTACATAAAGCTAGTAAAACAAAATGTTCACTTTTTCTATGTGCACTATTTGTGGTACATTATCAGCATACAATATATGCGTTGATCCTGTTTAAAAGATATCAATATTTATCAAACCTCCATTAGGATATTACAGTCATGACAGTACATTTGTAATTAGACCCAACATATGCAATTTTATGATACATGAACTACATGTATTGTATTTTTAATAATTTCTTGATGATATGTTACATGTATGGTACATGTATCATCTATCGTTATTAAAAATTAAATAAAATATGATATAACATACTAAAAATTGTATACTTGTCAAATTGTATTTTGTCACAGGTGAGGTAATCTTTTGATGTCAATCTCTGCACCTGTAATTTATTTTTTCATTCATCTATAAAAATGTTTTATCGTATACTATAAAATATGATGGAATTTATGTTTTTTTTTAAATCATGTTTTACAATTCCAAACAAAAATTGCACCACTTTACACCATCATCAGTTACATACATGTATACAAAGGAACATACTGATTTTTGAAATTTCTTATTTAACATGTTTAAATACATTTTTTTTCACAATTGCAAATTTTTCATATCAGTGTACTGCGATGTTTATACATGTATGTTCTCATAGTCTAGATTTTAACTCAAATGTCTGTAAAAAAATGAGTTTAAACTTCAATCTGACACTTAAAAGATTGAACAAAGAAGTTGCATGTTGTACAATGTTGTACCAAATCACAGGACATTTACAGAGAAATTTCAGATATATATATAGCTGTGTATATTTGTACCTATGTACATGATCATGTATACACATGTGTAGGTCTACATGGTCTATGGCATAATTAAATCAGTCCAGTTATACCAGTTACCATGGTTACATTTTGTGTACCTTATTAAATAATAAAAAAACTCAGTCATTGCATTCACCATTTTAACAACAATTTTACATAGAAGTTTGACTGTTAAACATGTTAAATGTTTGCTCATATATCTATATATATCAGAATATACCTGTATACTAATATATAATATAGATGAAAAATTAACATTTGTGGTATAATACATGTACATAATAAAACAAATGTATAGTTCATACATGTCTAAAACACTGTATGCACAGTAAAAATATGCAACTTTAAAGCTTCACTGAACAATTTGATAAGCTACATTCACAGATGTGCAATTTTATATATGCAAATGACATTACTTGTACATGTTGTACCTTACTGCTGATACATGTATGTACTTACATGTACTTAAGTTACTAACAATTATCATAGAGGCACCATAGGTCAGGATCATGTCTTAAAGACAGCCATCAAATAAAAAAACATTGGTTGCAATGATTTTTCGTTCTAAACAGATATTTAATTAACGACAAGGATGCTGATAGTACATGTAGTTTACTGTAGCCAGTGTTGACAGTGAACTTCACAGCAAATTTACCATTGTTTACATGTACAAATGTATTACACAAATAGTAAGTTTCAAAGATAAAAAATCTGGCTACAACAGCTTTGTATCAAATCTGGCTACAACAGCTTTGTATCAAATCTAGCTTTTTGTGTTTTTTTCTCTCTGATTTATACAATTGATGGGTGCATGTATACTACTTAAGCTTGAAAATGAAATTACTGGTTCCAAACCACAAAACATATATACATTGTAACAATGATCTATGCAGCATATATAGATGTGTCTTCGCACTGTGCATATTTTTCATCTTAATGCACCATATTGCTATACAGTTGCATCCCTGTAGCTAATCCAAATAATTATGATGTCTTAAAAGGCTAGATTAATTTTTTGCTGACGCCTTCCTGTAACAGCAAAATATTGAAATAGCCTTTCAAGATATAATTATTTGGACTACCCTGTAGCATGTAAATTTTAGCATCAATATAATTGTTTGCATCTCTAATCATGCTAATTGCTAATTGTCTGCATCCATTGTTTATTTTTTTTCAAATAGAAACTGACATGTCAGTATATTATCATCCTAGACACCAAATAAGGAGTGTATACGATGTCATACTGCAATAAGTGTGTACATGACATGAAAGTAGTGTTGGGACTGAACATTGTCATGACTACATTTTTCTCGAGAGCTATGTATGAATGAAACATTTTACTTGGCAAAACCAGATGGGATGGCATAGGGCTGTGCATGTCTCACAGTCACTTTTTTTATTAATTAAAATGCCCGGTCTATATTAAAGGGATGAAACCAAAATATCATGTCTGTGGCTTTCCCATAATTTCAATTTGACATTGGTCATTGTACACTGTCATGACTGTTTGGAACAATTTCGATGTAAAAAAAAAAACAACATGAAATTATTACGTAATTAATTAATACCTCAAAGCTACCCTGACACTACTGTCGTCTTCCTTATTTTCCTTCTTCTCTGTCATCTTTCAGAATTTTATTTTTTAACTTGTTGCTTACAAAAAATTTAATCTTTCCAACCCATTTTCACACCTAAATCCCAAGAGTTTCAGCCGTACATCACGGCAGGTAATATATTCCTGGTCGATCACATTATTGGCACTTAATATTTTACATGACACATTTTAGAAATAATGAATATACAATTCCAAAAAATATTCAAATTTTCGATCTTCACCCTCCTATCGTTATTTTTCTTGTTCACAGTGACATCGTTTGGCGGAAACGAATCCAAGTGGAGATAACTCTAAATATAGAATGAAGAAATTTCGCGCTGTATATTCGAAAACGAATACGAACATATACGATCATATACGCAAATAATAATAAAAACACATTTCCCGCTTGAGAGTTACTCAGTTTGCTCTCCCGTCTATGCATTCAAATCATATTCTTAGATCCTATAATAGATATAAGAAGATGTGGTATGAGTGCCAATGAGACAACTCTCCATCCAAGTCAAAATTTATAAAAGTAAACCATTATAGGTCACAGTACGGTCTTCAACACGGAGCCTTGGCTCACACCGAACAGTAAGCTATAAAGGGCCCCCAAAATTACTAGTGTAAAACCATTCAAACGGGAAGACCATAATATAAACACATCTGCGGATGATTTTTGCAAGAAACAATTAATAAAATGGAGCTGCTACAGGAACATCTAAATCATTATTTTGTGGATTTAATGAATTAAATACATTCTGTGTACATCATATACCAGTACATTTCTATATTCAGGTTTAATAAATATTGTTTTCAGACTTTCAGTCGGCTATTTTCGTATGATGAAAGCAAATGACAAAAAGTCCCACAGATATCATATTCTGTGTACAACATATACCGGTATATTTCTATATTCAGATTTAACAAATATTGACGGTTTTCAGACTTCCAGTCGGCAATTTTCGTATCATGAATACAAATAACAAAAAGTCCCACAGATATCATATTTTGTGTACAACATATAACTTTCTTGTCGCTGAATTTGTCTTCTTGTCGCTTCTTGGCGCTTCGTGTCGCTAAAATTCTTCTTGTCGCTTATTAGTTGAGACCGCATATTCTCCATGAAAACAACCACAGAAAATTGCAGGTCATTGTTGAAGGCCGTACGGTTGCCTATAATTGCTTACATCCACTTCTTTTGAACTTTGGTAGATAGTTGTCTCATTGTCAACTGGGACTATTATACTAATAGTATAATAGTCCCAGTTGTCAATCATACCACATCTCCTTATTTTCATATAGAAACTTTGTGTAAAATTGGTTAAAAGTATCGCCTTGTAAGCAAGGTCTTAAACGATTCAAAACTCATAACTTCTAAATTTCATACTTCAATTTAAACTCCTCGATGGACTTGAACCGGTGCATTACATTTGCGCGCATTACCATTACATTTGCGCAGCTTTTGGTTACATTGCGCGCATTCTTTTACAGGTAAACTCAGGTAAATACAGGTAGGTTATACTTCAGTATTAATTTATTTAACTAATATTTTCTAGCAGGATAAGTCTGTTTTATTGAGTACAAGCACTTAGTCCTGGAAATATATACAGGTAAAAATGTAAAAACATAATAAATCTAAAGTTTTAAAGTACTGATTTTACATGTCGTAACATGCACAAAAATACATGGATGTGTTGAATAAAATTGCTCATTGTAGTAAGTATGGAATGATTCTGGGCCGTTTGTAGTACGCCTGGATTCTGCTGACTGTAGTGATGCCCATAGACTTGGAGGAAATAAGGAATCTGGTGAAATACCTTTTGCAATTATTTACAGTGCATCGCCATGAGATATCCCCTGACTCAAGTTTTCTGTCAATACGGAAACTAAATCCATCTTACACTAATGATTTTTCCACCGTTTTGTTTCTGACAAACAAAACTCCATGTGTGTACCTTGACGCATTTTTACAAACTGACTTAAATTATTTAATAGAAAAAGCAATCACTATTCGGTAAGATTATGAAACAGAATACTATTTACTCTGATATATTCACAATTAAGTTACATGCATGTATATATGTCTTAAGTCATTGCTGAATTTCTCTTGATCGCTGTATATTTTTTTAGAATTGAATATGAAAAATATATGATTTAAATTTACAAATATGTTCCAAATTCATTATTACTATAGTCATATTTATTATGAATTATCTTTATTTAACCTTTGTTACCTGTAAAATGAATGCGCGCAAATGTAATCAAAAGCTGCGCGAAAGCGTAAAAAAAAATAATCCCAAATGCGCGCAAATGTAATGCGCCCATTTGAACGGCAGCAAGCCCGCCTCGAGTGTCATGGATTCGATTTTTTGAGGGGGTGACACAGGGGTGCTCAATTCCCAAATTCCGCTTTTTTGGGTAATTTTTTTACCACTTTTTCAACTTCCCAATAATGAATTTCCCATTTCTCAGCAGTAAAAAGTAAAATCACAAAAAGAATGAACTCCGGGGAAAATTCAAAACAGAAAGTCCCTAATCAAATGGCACAATCAAAAGCTCAAACACATCAAACGAATGGATAACAACTGTCATATTCCTAACTTGGTACAGGCATTTTCTTATGTAGTAACATACCCTCTGCTCCGTCGTATGGTGTTTACATATCTCAATTGATACGTTATGCTCGTGCATGTTCACGCTTTACGGAATTCATATCCAGGAGTGTGCTCCTTACGCAGAAACTGCTCCAACAGAGTTATCAGGAGGAAAGATTAAGAATGACACTCCGTAAATTTTATGGACACCATCATGTATTGGTTGATTTATACGATGTGTCTGTGTCTAAACTAACTAATGACATTTAAACCACGTCTCAGATTGTGGTTTAACATCTGTGTCGTCTGTCTGCTAAGTACCGAACGTGACCTATTCCCGAATATGACTGTTTTGCCAAGTGTAAATTTGCATTGCTATACGACGTGTCTCGGTATTTTATACATCCAACAATCATGTATTTATTTATGATGTTTCTGTTGTGGTTTCGGTTAGATAATGTGTTATGTCTAATTGTATGAATTCCAAGATTATATATGCGTTACAAAAATACGTCACTGTTTGTGATGTCCTGTGCTGTCTGTCGTTAATGGAAGATGTTCGTTGTTATTCTGCGGTTTACTTGTTGTATCGACTATTATATTATTCATTTGTGCGTTTCTCTGTGATGAGTGTTCTTGCGTGTGTTTGTGCTGTATTTCTGTCACGTAGTACTGTCATTTTAGCTATATTTTTTAACATTGCCATATAAACGGGAGGTTTGGCTAGCCATAAAACCAGGTTCAACCCACCCTTTCTTCTTAAAATAAGATGTCCTGTACCAAGTCAGAAATATGACAATTGTTATCAAATAGTTCATTTTTATGTATGTTTCCGTTTGTTTTTGTTGCACTTCAGTGTTTCTGTTGTTCCGTTGTTTTCCTCTTATAGTTGATGTGTTTCCCTCGGTTCTAGTTTGTAACCAGGATTTGTTTTCTCTCAATCGATTTATGACTTTTGAACAGCGGTATACTACTGTTGCCTTTATTTTCCTTCTTTTTTCCAGAGCTCAATATCTTACCCCATATATACCACATTACCACTTTTTTTACTCCTATATCACACATCCCAAAGGCTTGTCGCCCTCCTCTTTCCTACCAGGTAAAACCAAAGACTAAACAAAAATTGTTCTGCTCCCTGGGTATTTACGAAATCATGATTTAAAAGTAGGCATAGAATGTCGGAATATTGACCAATAATTAAAACTTGATAAGGTAGGTCAGGCGGTGACATGGCTTCTTGTGGACGTTGCCATCATTTGACCATGTGAACTAGCATGTTAAAAATGCGGCTCCGCGATATAGTACAAATAAGTGTCAAATTTATATGTATCAGACAATAATATCACCTCGTAGTTTCAGAGTCAAAGCTTGCCGCTACCAGCAGCGTTTACATCCAACTGGAACCAAAAGGGAATAACTTATAAAGGCATTCCATTCATCATGCCTGCTGAATTTTATAAAATATTTGTAGTTTCAGACAAGAAGATAAAATGTTATTTTCAATTTAGGCTTCAATGCATGGAAACTATTGCGCCACCAATGCAACCATAATTGCCATCTTTACATCATTAGTTAGTACAGTTCGCAATGAATCAACCAACTCAAACACTTAAAGTTTCAAAATATTTCGCCTTTCAGTTTTAGGTAAGAAGATTTTCGAAAAAGTGCCAATTGGAACCAACTGAGGATCATGATCAAATTAGTATTGCTATATTTCTCTAGTTTCATTTTTCATTCTAAGAAACCTGGTCAACAATGACCTATAATGGTTTACTTTTATAAATTGTGACTTGGATGGAGATTTGTCTCATTGGCACTCCTACCACATCTTCTTATATCTATACCACAAAGTGAGTGTTTATATGCTGTTGCTTATGTAGAACGTGTTGTACACCAGTCTCGTCTTAATTCAAAATCTATCGGTCAAACTGTTAATCCTCAACATTTTCAAATGTTTTCAAGAACAAATGAAACTGTGTTTTATGGTTGATTCAGTTGTTTCATCGGCAATCATACAACCTTTCTTTTTTTTTAATTGTTATTTGTGGATTCATTATCACTCGTCGAACATAGATAAACACAACATACTGTTCTAATTTAGGGAAGGGTTGGGTGATCTATTACATCGTTGAATCAGGCCCCTAGTTTTTCTCTTTCTAGCCATAAAACCAGGTTCAACCCACCATTTTTTTCTCTAAATTTCCTGTACCAAGTCAGGAATATGGCAGTTGTTATCAAATAGTCCGTTTCTATGTATGTTGGCGTTTTTTTTGTTGCAATTCAGTGTTTCTGTAGTTCCGTTGTTTTCCTCTATAGTTAATGTGTTTCCCTCGGTTTTGGTTTGTGACCCGGATTTCTTTTTGCTTAATCGATTTATGACTATTGAACAGCGGTATACTACTGTGCCTCTATTTGAATTATTTTACATTTAGTTATGTCAGAGCCTTTTATAGCTTATTATGCAGTATTGGTTTTTCTCATCATTGATGGCTGAACAGTCACATCATTTGGTCTCTTTTTGACAATTGTCCCATTTCCAATCATACCACATTGCCTTATTTTATATTAACACCACGTAATGTGCCTGTCTCATGCCAAGAGCTTGCAGTTTAGTGGCTGACTTTTGTTGCAGCCCTATGTTGTCATTGTTCTTAAAATCAATCCGGTTAATACATGTAGTGTAGT